GCTTCAGATCTTGATCAAAGTTTGGCACCCAGTTCATAGGAGTGCTTATATTGATTTTCTGACGTCTTGTTTTCTGTAAAGATTTTATTGGTAGGTTTGCAAATGTGTATCAGACTGTGCAATCTCTCCATGAGTTGGTTTTGAAACCCAGTACGGGATTCTGAGATACATTACCAAGGATATTATTACAAGATAAATCATTTGCTTCATTGAACGCATACAACAATGCATATTTCCACTGAGATCAGTGACCTTTGATGTGTATCACCAGTGATCAGTCAAGTAGAAACAGTCAAAATATTTTTTCAGATTTTCTCAATTTTTGCATGATATTTTCAGACAGGACATCTGTTGTTCAAACTCAGAGAAGACTTTATACTGATGAATAAGGTGACCAAGTTTGATGAAGTTTGGAATAGAATTAGTAAAGTTATTATGCACACAATAACAATTATTAACGACGACGACAACGACAGCGACAACAACAACAACGACAAAGCTGGACAAAATTTTTCCCTTATACCTTCCCCTTCCATCTTTGATGGTATGTGCAAGGTAAAAACTAAAAACTATTTTTATAGTTTAATGTATTACTTTTAGTTTATTCTTGCTGTCTGAATATTTTGTATTTTTATTGTTTTTGTATTATTTTAACTGTTTATCTAGATTGTTATTACATGCGTGTACATTCCAAATTACTTACCATATTTGATATCAGTGACAGTGATGGAACTCTCCGCTATATTAGTCGCCAGAATAATCTAATAATATAATAAAATACAAGCTAATAATGACAATTCAACTTCCCATAAATATTCAAAGTGCCCTGAGTTAGTTACTTCACACCAATTTGTTCTGCCAAACTAATTCTGGACCTGCAGAAGAACATGTGGCTAAAACAATAGTATGACTTGTTTTACCTTTCTCCTGCCTTTTTCAGCTTTCAAGAACACTTGAGACTGTTCTTCACTTGTGATACTAGAGTGTAGTGGAAGCAGCCATAATCTGTAAAATACAGAGAAATGATAATCAACTCACAGAGATCAAATGCCATGCTCACAAACATAACGATTGATGACATTTGACTATTTTTTTTTTATTTCAAGGAAGAAAGTAAAGATTTTAAAGACAACAGAGGTCGTGCAATCTCCAGTAGAATATATTTCTTCTCACCTATGGCGTATGACGTCATCGTTCAGGGCCTGAAATGTTTCGTTGATTTCATATATACCTGAGATAAAGATATGGAATTCCATAAATAAAAGAAACCTATATCATGATGACATATCAAAGACAAGGACACAGAAAATGTACATTACAAATGTCATTACTCAGCAATTTATGTACCGGTAGCTATTGGTAGTCCAGTCTTCAATACTATGTTTGAGAAAAATCAACCAAGTCATTGCACAAACACCGGTTACACAGTCACCTTATACAATTTGCGTAGTCTGGTGATATCTGAGCAATGATGCTTCCCTGGTGATAGCGGGTGCAATAACTCCTGGTTGTTTACCATCTCAATGGTCAAAAGTCCAAAATGAGCAGGACACAAAAAAACAGTAGCCATTTTCAATGAACTCATGAAACGAAATTAAGCAACCAAGTAGGAATCTGCCTAATCCAGTCGATACTTGCCATTAGCATTCACACGCTTGCAAAAAGTCCTGTAATCATGTCTGAACTTCAGACAAAAGTTTGAATTAAATTGGTCTAGGCATCCCAAGAAACATTTGATGGGCGGGATGTTTAGGACCAAAATGGCCACCAATCAACCAATATGACTGATCCAATCATGATGTGAATTTGTATGTCTTGTCTTTGATCAACTGTGATTAAAACTCATTACTGAGAAAAATATTGGACACATAGATGCAAATAACCAAAATTAACTTCTTGTTTGGTTCAAATACAGAGACTAAAAACCAACAAACTTTATTCAAACATAAATCTATATACAAACAGCAAATTACAACATTTACTCAATATACTGCACTCTTACCCGGTAAGAACACCAAGACAGTTCCTCTGTTAGCTGGAAACCCATCAATTCTTTCTCTGACAAGTAAATGTTAACTATTATTTTTACTAATTTCAATCCATTTGAGAATTTCAATACATCTGACATACACTCTATGTATCCCAGCTGACACATATTGTGTATTGTATTACAACATCTGCATCCACCTGTATGCAATCAAGTCCATCCTTAACAACACTGTTAATGTTACATGCATATAAGGAAGGTATCTGGCAGTTCACTTAACATATTCCCAATAAAGAAATTAGTAGAGAATTAGATATTCAAAGATTAGCAATACTAAAGACAAAAACTCAAGATACTCACTCTTGCTCTTTCAGCTCTAACTGGTCAAACTCTAATATCAGTTGTCGTGCCAAATATATAGCATCAGGAGAAACACTGGGATTGTCTCTTTCTAGAAATGGCATCTGATAAACGAGATGACATATTTGTAAGTTTTTGTAAATGATATGGTAAACTTTGCATTAGTTTTCATCAGGGATTCACACATAAGCAGAAATCCTACCTGCCCAAATTTACGAAGATCTTCCAGGTAATACTCAGTCACATCATACGCTTTACCCTCCACAGAGACGACAGGAGCACTCTCTAGTTTACCTCTCACAGGAAGTGAGAAATAGCCAGCAAATAAATCACTCTCAATAGTGGCAGACATCAAGATAATCTAAAACATAATCAAATTTATCATACATTCAACCATTGATATAAACTATGTGGAAGAGCATGTGTGGTAAATACATCAGCAGTGTGGCTAATTTGCATAAAATATCTAATTTGCATGTGTATTTTTATTATATATAGATATAATCAATATATTAATAACCTCCATTGTTTTTTTATTCAAACATTGTAAAATCTTCATAAAAAGACCTGAAATAGACATGTAATTAATTTGTCCTTAGCGTATTAGTAGACATAAATTGTTTTCTAACACTCTTTTTGAGATACCACCTACAATATATGTAGCAAGCCATTGACTTTACCTTACTGCATCAACCAACAAAATAGAACACACTAAATTGAGTGTTGCTCTTGTTCTTGACAACTGACTCACATTGTCTATTCAGTGAGAGTGATACCAGTGTCAGTGTGCATTAACCATGTGGGAGCGGTGGAAATACTAGATGAGGAACTAAGAAGTATGTGAGTCATTTCACTTTGAAACTATCAAGTGGAACCTATGCTCTGTGGTGTGAGGAGAACCTTTCAAGGCTCAGTTTTGATTCCCACTCAATGAGTCACCAATGTAAAGTGGTATTCAATTTCCAAGTACAGTCGAAAATTGCCCTAGCCAGAGGCTAGCCTATATTCCTACTTCGATTCAAATTCGAACATGGTTTACAAAACACGTCTTTATCAGTGACTATGTCTACAAAATGAACACTTGAACAAGTTTACTTGAACAAAGCTGCCAGGCAATCACCTAATGTTTATAGTTTAGCATATTATATTTTATTTTTTGACACTGCAAGAGAAAGACAACGGCTGGCTAGAATCAGTAGTATGAAGCAGATTTACCTTCACATGCCTTGATGTACTTCGAAGTAGTTTTCTCACCACTAAGAGAGAAAAGTCAGAGTCTTGGTCTCTTTCATGAACCTACAGATGAAGAATACAATTAGTGAGCATAACATCAATGAGAAAGTGGCATCAGAGTTGTGTGTGATTTGATCTATATAAACACAATAGACTTATTGGTCATCTGACTCTGCCCAGTTTATTATGGACAATCTTAAAACCTCAAGGGCACCAGAGAGAGATTAATCTTACCTCGTCTAGTATGACATGGGTGAACATGTTCATATTTTTACTGTTAATAAGTTTCTGCAGCAGCACTCCAGTTGTTAGATAGGTGAGTCTAGTATCATCAGTAATGCACCGGTCTAACGCAACCTGTACAAAGGCAATAGATGATAAATTTAATGGCATTCATAATGGAAAAATTTTGCAGTTGCTGTGTCATTAGAAAAGCAGAGACATTTTTACTGCAAAAATTTCACAATTTTTGACTCACAAAATTCAAGAAATAGAGGCAATTAACAGTAATTACCGGTACTACTAAGCTATATATATAACCATCCACAATACCTAATGTTGGATGTATTTAGATACAGCGGCACAGAACACTCACCTGATAACCAACAAGACTGCCGAGCTGCCATCCACGTTCAGCACAAACCCTCTTAGCAATGCTTATGGCGGCAATACGTCTTGGTTGAGTCACAACTATATTGACGTACCTGTTCTCGCTGGCATAATGGTCCAGTATATATTGTGGTACTTGTGTTGTCTTACCACTACCAGTAGAACCTTGTATCACAGTCACCTGGTTGCTTTCAATGGTACTGATAATCTACAAGATCAAATCAATCATAATAATAGATTACTCCATATCGATCACATGTGCAATATTTGACACAAATCCCAGCTACTGGTATATGTAGCAGCTAAATCCAAAGGTTTGTGTACAATACCTGGTCCTGGAACTCTGTGATTGGTAAATCAGGGCTGTAAGTATGGTCAAATCTGTAATGTTTGTAGACTTCAGCAGCTAACTCCAACGGTTTTTGGTCGGGAAAACCCAGCGTCTCGTAGACATCTGAAGTAGTTGCAAAATCAAGATCTGCCGAGAAACACAACAACACACAATAATGTGTAACAATAGATATGACATTTTCAATTTCTTCTGAGTATTGCTTCAAAACTTTTGTGTTCATAGAGATTCGGCAAATTTTCTATTGAACAATACACAACAAGATTTACATAGTTAATTTGCATATTAGATACAAACATGCTGTGTATCTGGAAAATAATTACACTTGTTCTATACATAGCAATGTCTATACACTATTACATATACAAGCAAATTGCACAACACTTGAATGACACAGCAGAATGCAGGCACATACCTGAAAGTCCTCCTGGAGATCTAGTAGTTAAAATCGGTAATCCAAGATCTGTATCAGATTTCATTAGTCTCAACTCTCGTTGCCGTTCTTCCTCTAGATATTTCTGTGCATACTCTGTCTGTTTAGGGTTGTTATCCCTGGGATTTCTGGTAATTACAGATGTAAAAAGTAATGATAGAAATATTTCTTTCTCTACTCAAACAGAATTACTACAACCACCATATTGTTCTGAACATGGAAACAGCAACATTGCCAGCTGAGTTGCTGACTGGTTTGCTATGTACACCTAGAGATCATTACGCAATTAGAACAAGTTGGGGGGAGGAGGGGGTAATCCCTACAATTTGGGGTGTGTATTTTAAAATTTTTTTGTTTGCATTTCGTGTCATTTTCCGGAAATCTCCAAATGTTTTTGATAAACATATCATTGCGTTCAGTATCTTAAATGTGGTTCAACTGTTTGGTCTAAGATGATGTGGCTTCTGTGATAAGAAAGACAGAAAATCACAGGTATGGACATGCAACGGATGGGTCTCGTCCTATCGAAGTCCAACGATATGCCTCGAATGCAACTTTCACAGCTAAGTATATATTTTTGGTCTAAATTGGTCTAAAATGGGCTCTGGGTATTGCAGTGTGGGCAACACACCTCCCCAGTCAAACCAGCCTCAACAGGAGATGCTGAACTATTTGTGGGAAATCGGACACGTTAAATAAAATAGAAATAGAAATAGAAAATCACGATACAATTGCGTTTAAATTCATTTCATTCAATCTTTTGAATTTATCTATATAACAAAGTTATCCAAACAAAATATATGTACTGACACAATATGAAATGTCATGACATAGTTGCTGTTGTGTCTGGTGTCTGGCAAAACGCTCGTAAAAGAGGCGAACAATGCATCCTCGTGATAATGGTTTGAACTAACCAGTTTTTATCATGTTATGATCTTGGGATGCGCATAACAAACCAGTCAACAACTTAGCTGGCAATGTTGCTGTTTTTATTTGCATTCTTATCCAATTGCAAAATAGCATATTGTTGAAATTCAGTGTCCAATCTCATAATGTACCACATTTACTAAACTTTCTGGCATGGTTATTATTATGAAAATAAACATTGTTTGTGACAAAAAAGTATTGACTTCAAATTTTCTGATAATAAAATAAAAATAAAGTAATAAAAATGCAAAAACTTTGAAAGGAATTTTTCATGTTGTTTACATTTCAGTTCTTGTTTTTAGAATTTGAAAATAGATAATGATCATAATCTTGCCCATGATTGTCATCAAATTGTAATATTGTAAATCACACAGTATTTTATTGCCATTCCCTCGGCACATTTCTGTCAATGCTGTCTTTCAGTCAATCAATGAAATAAAACGTGAATGTATACACAACAGAATAATCCCATCCAAAACACTCAAGTATAATACACCACAACTTTTAACTAGCATATGATAAACAGATCACAAATAACATAATAATGTCAGCAACTAGGTGTATTTAACAGTATTCTGTACTTGAGTATTCTGGAATTAATAGTTTTTTTGCACACAAAAATATTGTTACATTGGCTCAAATTGCTATATATCAACATTTGTGTGAATTATAGGTATTTCAATGGGAGTACTTGTAACAATTGTATGCGAATCCAAAACACTCAAGTATAATACACCACAACTTTTAACTAGCATATGATAAACAGATCACAAATAACATAATAATGTCAGCAACTAGGTGTATTTAACAGTATTCTGTACTTGAGTATTCTGGAATTAATAGTTTTTTTGCACACAAAAATATTGTTACATTGGCTCAAATTGCTATATATCAACATTTGTGTGAATTATAGGTATTTCAATGGGAGTACTTGTAACAATTGTAATGCGAATCGTACGTGAATCAAAACGTATGATGTCTTCATACCTGTCTCTCAAAAAGATATCACGGGGTTCGATGGTTGTGGAAACTTTCCTCAAAATTGAAGAATTAATTTTGAAAGGCAGCTATGAGGGTAAGCAGGGGCTATAATTTGTAGACATGGGCAAGGTGTAAAATGTAATCAGCCATTTTATTTGTAATTTGTACAAAGATCTTATTTTTGTAAGCGTATAAAGCATTTTCACATTAAATGTCATGATTCGTAGGCAACTTATATTATAAAAATGTAATTAGGAATTTGCTTTATCTGTAAAGTGTAAAAACCTATTTTTTACTGTAAATGGAACTTTCATTATATTTCCTGTAACCTGTAGTATCAGCTATCTCCCCTTGCCCCCCCCCCCAAGCTATATATGAACGAACACACAAAGTTCTCAGATTTATTTTCTAGTGTATTCGAACACCACCTGTATGCACCAGATGGTATGACCATTGATGCATAAATTTGCATAAAAGTGGTTGGGTATCTCCACCCCAGACAATGTACAATAACACTACACAGTAACTTTCTTGAAATCCAACTTCAACCGATTTGGTCTGAAAGCGAGTAGAAACTGTTTTGTTCGAGACAAACTGGCAGTCATCATACAGTCACTTCAAGCCACAGAGTACTTGTAATATATACTTTTTATTGAAATACAATACCTTTTGTACGGCGGAATGAAGGATTTGCTCCTTTTCTGGTACGCCTCGCCGGTAGTCGGGTCAAGATAATGGCCTTGAAGTTTACTTCGAGGAATTGTCTCTGCCTTGGGCGGCGGTGCGCCGATTTTAAACCACTCATCTATTTGATTGAGTGTCAAATCGCTTGTCAGAGAGCTCATTGTGGCGACGGGATGATATTAGGACTATAGGCGTGTACATAACACGCGAATAAATTCAGAGAACTTGAACTTGTAGATGTAAAAAAACATCAACACGATAACAGCCATGCAGGATATCGCATTTCCCAAGTCACGTGATCACTATTTCATAAATGTACCGATAGAGGGCGCTAGTATAGTAATATTGCATTACTGTAAGACTGGGATTACCCCCCCCCCCCCTCCGACCAAAAAAGAATCAAAGAAAGCTTAGAAAGAACTCCCGTGTGCTGAGAGTATTGAAGACACATTAAAAATTAATTCAAAATTACTTGTACTTGAGATATTGATGGAATAGGTAACTGATATGAACAGATTTAAGTGTAAAACTAATAAGGTTTGCACAATGTACCAAATTTCATTGAAATGTGATTAGAACCCAAAAAATATTAATTATTATTCTAATTAGAGAGTTAATATGAACAGATTTTAACCCAAAATTAATCAGGCTGTCTATTGTCCTAGAGCATTTATGTACCAAGTTTTATTCAAATGTGATGATCAATACTTGAGATATCAGTATTAATTAATTATATTAATTAAGTGATTTAGAAGCATACATATTTACCAAAAACTAATATGGTGTATAGTCCTAGGTTCATTGAAATGTGATGGGTACTCTTTAAGGTAGCGAGAAGGGAAATTTTCACTTTTTTCTTGATTTTTCAAAAATTTATAAAACGGTTACTTTAGAACTTGATACATCATCCCTGGTTTACAAAAGATCGAAATTGCAAAATAACGTTGCTTAAATTAGTGTTTTGAAACGCTAGCAGAAAAGACTACAACTGCCGTTTCGTGGATATTTGCATAATGTTTATCTTTGAAAGGGTTTAAATGATAACATCTTATCTGTATACTCTGTTGTTGACGATTCTGATATAACGGGTGATAAGCTTCCAGTTGCAAACAATGCGTGTTTATCTAACGTCCATTGTCAGCATTATTGACAGTCGAGACTTCGTCGGAGAAACATGGTCATACAGTACTCATTTCGCCCAACCTTCCGCTTTTACATCGACCGCTTATCGCTTAATTTCCGACCACGCGGTCTTGTCCGACCGGAAACCGACCGCATTTTAATCGCGTTTTTTTTTTTCGCTCGCTCGCTCATTGAAAACATTGACCGCTCGCCCAAACACTGAAAACTGGCACATGGGTGGTCGAAATGGTGGTTTTGATAGTAAAGTGTGAACATACAACTAGTATTAACTATTATTAAATTGTGTACGACACTTCAAATCTAGTAGTTGTATGACACTTGTATCGTGAAAGCAACTGAACTGGGACCTCTTGTTAAGTGTTTTGGGTGCTTGTTCTAGATGTAATATTTTTTATTTTTTATTTTAATGAGACAGTTATGTGAAAAAAGCCTAGGTAACTCCTTTTGACAGAGCAGAGAAACGAGGAAATGTTAGTGATTAATTCCAAAAATAACGATACCGAATCCACGTCTGGTAAAATTTTACATTAAATTTTTAAAATTAAGTCACGATCATTGAATGAGCTCGGTCTATACCGTATACGTACCGCAAAAGTGTTCCCACAAAATATCTTTGACTAAAAACGGCCACATGCCCTGAATAATTTATTGGGCTTAAAAGAAAATCGTGTCAAATTTAGTTATAGCCATAACTATTTGGTGGCCAGTCGATGAACAATTCAAAACTCAGGATTCACACGGAAGTCCTTCAGGGCTGAAAATCATCGACGCTACTCTGGTTTACTTTATTTCACAACTTGCAGAGAAAACTGATTCGCGTGAACTCTAATGTATCTTAGCCTAGTATTTTCTTTTTGAACTAAGG